TTCTTTATTCTGCTGAAGACCAAAGAAGATATTTAGAAAAATAGGTTCTCTTTTTTTTTTTTCTCTATACAGTGAAAGTTAATGCATGGGTCCAGTGTTTGGGACCCCACTGATTTTCATTGTACCAACAAAAATGGTTAAAACATTCTTCAAAATGTCATCTTTTTTTCTTTTTCTTTTTCCCCCACAGAATAAAGTAAGTCATAAAGGTCTGAGTCAGAAAGAATTTAGTGAATTAACCCTTTAAAGCCTGAAATATGAATAGTTAGAAAAATCTAAAATGGAACCGTTTATTAAACATTTAGACAAAATCTTTTTAAAATATCAAAGTGTTTTGTTGAGTATCAGTTTTCTTCAGAGGCCCAAAGATCTTTTAGCAGTATAGTATGAAATGCATATAAATATCAGTTGCACTCCCAATAACATGACTTATAAGGTGATATTTAAACGATTAGTTTTATGATTAAAGTCTGTAGTTTGTATTGTGGGGGGCAAAACATAGAATGCAATGCATTACAATGATGATTAAGAGATAAATAATCCTCAAAAGCCATATCATATTTCATACTCACATTCATGATTTTAAAAAATGAAGTATGGATGATCAACCGAACCTAAGTTCTAGCTTGTGCAACCTCCTGACCCTGATCCTTATACCTGGCATTTAAAAACATTTATATAAATGAAAACTGTCACCGTTGTGTTCTTGCTACCCAAAATATATCAGACCAGAGTTTTGTGATCAGGCCAGGCCTTATTTCTATTCTTTCCTACACCTTTCCCTTCTTTTACTTGTATAATTGAAAGCATTCCAGCCTAGAGGAGCATCTGACAGCATATAAAAGTACAAAACTCATCTGTCAAGACATTGATTAGATGCCTCCGAGTTTATGCACTATTGCTGAAAACATGTAATTAGCCCTTATTAGGTGACTTTGTGAAAGAATTTGATAAATATGGTTTAACTCCTTCTTTGAGAGATACAAGAGACTAATATACAATTCCTCTATGCTTTATAATGGACTCGCTTTGTACTAGGATAGAACCCCATGCATTTAGGAGATCCTGGACAACTATAATATAGAGATTATATTGAGATATTGTGTAAAATGGATGTCGCACACTTTGTATGATTGTTGATTCGACGAGGGTCATGGGGGCGCAAACTCCCTTCTTCTCCTGAGCACAACCCTATCATCCCCCATGCCTTTATAGTCCTCTCAGAGTGTCAGTGTCAACGTGTAAATCATACGGAAATAAGTCTGGAAATTGAAAATGAAGCTGAAAATATGTGTGTGAGACAGCCCCTTCTCCCCCCCACGCATGCAGCCCTTGCTCGAGTTTCCCCTCCCTTCCTGTCCAATTATGTTTAAAACACGGTGGAGAGCGAGAACAGGCGCACCTGACAGATGTTGACCGTTTTTAAACCCTGCTCGCTCTCACAAGTTCAAGAGACTCTCTAATTCACTTTGCAGTCGGGACATAACGGAGCGACGCCACTTACTGAGCTTTTGGAACACAGACCAACACACAAGGATTTTAGTGCTGAAGCTCAGATCAGGGTAGAGGCACTTGCAGTTCACCAAGCTTATAGTGTGATTTCCATTTTATTCTTTATTCTTTATTGGGTTTCTGTTTTCTTGCACTTTATTGTGTTCTTCCTATATCAGTGGTTCTCCTTCATGGTCCTATGATGTGCATTATCATTAAATCAAAGTAAAATATTGTAAAATAAATAATATTAATCATATTCTATCGTTACACTTTTCTTTTTCAAATGGTCACATTAGAACATTTATTCTTTTTTATTACAAATATGTAAGCCTACATTTAATAATTCAGCAGACACTCAAATGTATATAGCCCTATTTATTTTTGGTATATAAAATAGCACACACTTCAATACAAATTTATTTATTTATTTTTTATTTTTTATTTTTTTTTTTGGGGGGGGGGGGGGGGTCTTTTCTAAAACTCATTGTATGTATTCATTTTTAGTCATTTTATCTGGACTGGAGATTGATTCGATGGACACTTACAATTGTTTCTTTCATTTATTAATTTCAATATCTGTATCTTGGCACAACTGTTAAACCAGTTGTGTAATCCAACAAATAAGGCATAATTGACTGATGGCAACACCTTTTCCACTTGTTGGAACACTTGTTGTTCCACACTGATGGGTGTGATGATTAACACATTAACCGATGCGATATTTATTTTTCGCATCGGTTCACAATTAATGGAGATATTCTGAGCAAGTCTTGTGTGAAATCTGAGCGACTCCCTCAACGCCTCCCCCTCAATATCATGCACCTCACATTTTCACGTTTAAAAAAGGTAATTTGAGAAACTCAAAACATATTCCAAGGTTTTTTTTCCATTTTTCCATAACTATTTAATAGATTGTGTCGTGAAACTCGGACGTACAAATTTGTGATCAAACAGTGAAAATATATGTGGGGGGAAAGGAACTTGTTGTGGTGGTTCGAGTAATACATGTCGCCTATAAGCAGAGTTTCTTCAGTAGGACAGTGCGCTGCTGGTCCTCGTATGTGCACGTCCAGCAGACGGCGATCACACTCTAAATTAATGTAGAGCACGAGGTGACAAATTTAGCTTTTCATGTGCACATTTTGTGGATCAAAATCATTAGAATTCCGATTAAAAAAGCCAAGGGAACGTGTGAGTAAAATGGGCTTCGTAAATGTGTTTGATCTTGTTTTCCACTGATGACGTCAAAATCGAACCGGGGATAATTTTACGTGTTTTTGAACTGGCGAATTGCGGAGTTATTATTTTTTTATTAATTGGAAAGAATTTATAGCTACTTGTGATATTGTAACCTATTGTTTAAGTCAACATTTCCGATACCAATAAAAAAGTGCTAGGAAATTGAGATAGGCTACTGCAGCGTTGGGGGGAACAAATAACATGGCAGGTTACACCAATTACATTTTTTTTTTTTTTTTTGCACACTAACCATTTTTGAGCTGTTCCCCACTCTGCACTTGATGACAAAAAGCCTCACATGGCACATGCACCGGGCGTGAGTCACCTGTTTCTTAGCAACCGTCACAACATGAAAACACCTGTGGCATCAATTTGTTCAAATAAGGGACTTTTAAGGATTGTGATAAAAACTGTGATAAATAATGGAAAAGATACTGGAAACGTGTGTGAGTGCAAATCTATATATAAACAACTTTAACACAAACGGTCTGTTTGCGGAGAAGTTTATTTCATTCTTATTTGGGACATTTGTATTGTTGTGGTTAAGTAGTTGAAATAGTGTTTCAATATAATTATTGCGGTTCACATAACAGGAATTGTTCTGCTAGAAAACCATATCAGCTACATGAAAATAAAAACCATTGCTCACATGTTTGAAGTTCAGTCTCCGGCGTTTCAAAAAGGTGATGTATTCAGTAAACATTAGAGCCAAAAAATAAATATAAATAAATACTGATTTATTCCAGTGAAAAATTTACCCCAATTAACGTGTCAACAGTGGTTTGTAGCCAAATGTTTACCTTCCGCGTGCCGCAGAAAAACCCTTCAGCTGCGCCTGTGGCGCGCGCGATCTCTCCCTTGCTCGTCACCTGACCGCGAGCTAGTGATGTGTCGTTCATGAACGATTCGTTCATTTTGAACGAATCTTTAATATGACTCGGGACTACCGAGTTGTCTCAGAGAGTGATTCGTTCATTTTGTGTTGATCGCGCATGCGCATTGAGCAACATATGGTTTCTGAATCTGTACTGGAAATGATTAGTTCATCTCTCTCGAGTTCGGGTTCGGGACGGGTCCGAGTCTTTCGTTCTTCCTGTCAGTCCCATAGAGGCTATGCTGTCAGTACCGGAAAGAGTAATGATTAGTTCATCTTTCGAGTCTCGAGTTCGGGTTCGGCCGGGTCCGAGTCTTTCGTTCTTCCTGTCAGTCCCATAGAGGCTATGCTGTCAGTACCGGAAAGAGTAATGATTAGTTCATCTTCTGAGTCTTCGGGTTTGAGTCCTTCGTTCTTTTGTCACGTGACGTGTCACCGTATTGAATAGCCTACTAATTCACAACCTTTTTACAAACAAGCACGTAGTTAATGTATAATATAATAGTAGTTAATTAATGTATAATGCTATAATAAAACACACCACAGATGCACAAGAAACATTTAAAGAAACGGACAGGGACAATAATAAGATGGAACTTTTATTTTTCAGATAATGTTTATTTCACATATTTTGTATTTTAATTCCTAAATATAAAACAATATACATTCAGACGCAGTCAATAATACGAATCTAATATTGTATTTGATGCGAGATACCAGCGGTCACGTGACAAAAGAACGAAGGACTCAAACCCGAAGACTCGAAGAAAATGAACTAATCATTACTCTTTCCGGTACTGACAGCATAGCCTCTATGGGACTGACAGGAAGAACGAAAGACTCGGACCCGGCCGAACCCGAACTCGAGACTCGAAAGATGAACTAATCATTACTCTTTCCGGCCCTGCTGTATCACACACGGCACGGCCCAGCAGACAGATCAGAGTCAGACACTGACGAGTCGACAACTAACGTCTCGAGACACAAGAGGAGGAGAACAAACCTGATAAATATGAAGTTGCAAAGGAAAGAACGTCTCGGATGAGGAGGTGAGGTGAACTAACAGAATCAGACTGCAATAGCCTGAACTTAAAACCCAACAACTAATCAATTCATAAAAATTTCGGTTTCTTATAATTTGGCTTTGGCTGCATTACCCTATAATTTATTTTTATTCTTTTTACAAATGTAATCAACATTTTCGTAAGTTCTAGATGTGTTGGGATATTTAACATGCCATTTTAATTATATTATGCTGAAATGAACGAAATGACTCGAAAAAAGATTCGTTCATTTTGCTGAACGAGACTCAAAGATCCGAGTCAGTAAAATGATCCGAACTTCCCACTACTACCGCGAGCCATATGCAAATCAGCCCCGTCCTCAAACGCCATTGGCTCTCTCTCACTCATTTATTCCCTGTCAAAGCGCATCATATGGCCGCTCTTCCACTAACTTTTCTAGCCTGCCGCTGAAAGTAGCTCAAAGACAATTCTGCAGTGCACTGGATGTGAAAATCACCCCGAGAGGAAGTTAGAATAAAACAAAAGGGAGACGAGCTGCCGCAAAGTTCCCATCCATCATCCTCTGTTTGGATTGCACCCGTCTCCTGTTCGAGTGGCCTCTTTTGTTATTAGGAGGTTCTACGCGTGTGCGCCTGCCAGCGAACGGGGACGTGTGAATGTTTCTGTGTGTGAGCTGAGTAAGTTAAAGCCGGGTGAATGTATAGCATGATGATGGAGACGGACTTGCATTCTCCAGGAGCCCAGACTAACACTAACACGGGCCACACGGGACCCAACAGCAAAGTTAACCAAGACCGCGTCAAGAGACCTATGAACGCGTTCATGGTGTGGTCTCGGGGTCAGCGCAGAAAAATGGCTCAGGAGAATCCAAAGATGCACAACTCGGAGATCAGCAAGCGCCTCGGAGCGGAGTGGAAAGTCATGACTGAGGCGGAAAAGCGACCCTTCATTGACGAGGCGAAAAGACTGCGCGCCATGCACATGAAGGAGCATCCGGATTACAAGTACCGACCCCGGAGGAAGACCAAGACGCTGCTCAAGAAGGACAAGTACTCTTTGGCGGGTGGCCTGCTCGCTGGATCAGGGGGCGGAGGCGGCATGGGGCTGGGGATGGGGATGGGTGCAGCGGGGGTCGGCCAGAGGTTAGACAGTCCGGTGGGTCACGGTGGCAGCACCGCGGCGAGCTACGCGCACATGAACGGCTGGACCAACGGCGCGTACTCAGGCCAGGTGGCGGCTGCCGCGGCTGCTGCCGCAATGATGCAGGAGGCTCAGCTCGCCTACAGTCAGCACCCAGGCAGCGGAGCGCATCACCACCACGGGCACCACCACCATCCCCACAACCCCCAGCCTATGCACCGCTACGAAATGACGGCTCTCCAGTACAGCCCCATCTCAAACTCTCAGAGCTACATGAGCGCCTCGCCGTCAGGCTATGGGGGAATATCCTACGCGCAACATCAAAACTCCAGCGTGGCTTCATCTGGGGCCATCGGCGCGCTGGGCTCGCTGGTCAAATCGGAGCCGAGCGTAAGCCCTCCCGTTACCGCTCACGCTCGAGCCCCTTGTCCCGGAGACTTGCGCGAGATGATAAGCATGTATTTACCGACGCCGGAGGGAGGGGACCCGTCCGTTCAGAGCAGACTTCACGCTGTACCGCAGCACTATCAAAGCTCCACGACGAGCGTAAACGGAACCGTTCCACTGACACACATATGAAACGATTCGCATACGCATTCAGACTCAAATAACCAAATATGTACCTCTTTTAGAGCATAACTACCTTTTTTTTGTACAGAATGTCTGTTCTTGTAAATTTGAAGGTGATTTTATTTAAATATAGGCTAATACTTAAACTGAAGGGTGTCCTCGGGATGTTGTCTGAATAATTTGTCCGGAATGACACCATATGCGTGAGCTTTACACATTTGCGAGGGATTAATTATTCTTTTGTGAGTGAGTGTGTGTGTGTGTGTGTGTGAGAGAGTGAGAGAGAGAGAGAGAGAGAGAGAGAGAGAGAGAGATGGTGGGCTACTATGTTTTTAAAAAAGAGTGGTTGCAACAGTGAATAGTCTAAATACAATGTTTTTAAAGTTTTCTAAGATTTTTCTCTATCACACTTTGATTTGTCAACACGTGAGTTACTGTATTTGCTCTATTCCTTATTTGTTTGTTGTATTTTTTCCCTTGTACATTGTGAATATATTACAGAGAAGATTGATACACATCTGTAAATATGATTCGGATTTGCCAGGAAAAAAAGAGGAAACTTTTTGCGTTGATGTGAGAAGAATAAATTTGCTTTTGCTCTGATTCTGAAAAGTTAGTTTGCTGTGTTGTTTTGCTTTTTATCCCACGAACCTCGCGATTAAGCAGCTGGAAATAGAATATTCTAAATGTGATAACGTTTGTACAAACCACTAAATTTAGTCACTCTCTGCTTGATCTATTCTGAACCTTTTTTTATTTATATATTGGAACAAAACAATGTGTAAGAACGAATTATTCAATTGGAAATTGAAATTGAAAACTGTTCCAACAGCACAGTATTAGGCTATTTTAATTATATATTCAGGCTATCAGATGTAAAATTGAAACATAATTATTTGTATCTTATAAAAAAAAACCGACTGAAAATTGTATGGGACTCTCGCGTAGGACCACGTGCAATTGTGTTTTTTATTATTATTATTATAAATCACGTTTTCATTTCCAAATAATTTTCCATTGCTATTACATTTTCTCGGGTAAGTTATTTTTAAAAAGACATTGGGAAATTTCAGTGTGCGTGATGAAGGGGAAGCTTAAAGCCTAAATAGGCTATATTACTAAATGAATATCACCTTATTGAATGTAAACGTTTTAAACGAGTTTTATACACTTATAAACGCTCCACTTAGATCGTGTTGTGTCTGTCTAATAAATGAAACCTCTTCAGATCGTTGGATAATTACTATTTATATGATGCCACTATTTTTGTTGAGGGTGATCAGCTGCTTTAATTGCGACAAAGCTATTTTACAGTGTTTTGTTTCTTTCAGTAAGCCTTCCGTGGCGTTGTTGCTGTGTCTTGATGCATATGATGGAGGTCAAAGTTCAAGACCTCTCAAAATAAAGAGTGTCCAATGAAAAACGAAGAACAGCAAATAGAGAGCGAACCACATTATTCATTGTTCAAAGGACCAACCCCTGTTTTTTTCCCTGTGAGCCCCGGATTGTGCAGACATATGCTTTAAATCCGCTCCACTTCAATTAAATCCGCCTGGGTTCCCGCGAGCCACTCATGACTATATTTACCGGATATGGAATAATTGCGTTCTAAATCTCCTAATGGAATTAAAAATGTTACTGTTTATTTCCACTTTCGATATGCATTTTAAGAGGAGTTCCATTTTTTTTTTCGCCTTGTGGCTTAATTTCTTTTACTAAAATTGACAACCTAATTTTCTTATAATTGAATCAGTGGTGGGCCGTCAAGCAAATGTTGCTCGTATCCTCCGTGGGGTGTCAGTGGGATTAAGATGAATGCAGAGAGTGTTTTGTGTCAGGGAAAGAGGAGGATTAGACAGCCCTAAAAGCTGAACCCCCGGGTCAGCGACAAGTTACATTCTTATTACAATGACACCCACCGGAAGAGTGACGTGACGCGGGAGCTATCCCGCAACAAGTAGCAGGATTCAGGGAGCTCTTTCAACTTCAGTTCTTTTCTTTTTTTGAACTCCACACAGACGACCGTGAGAATGTTGACGAAGAAGTTTCACTATAATCTTTGTAACAAAAATGGATTGGACTAACGCAAATTAGTTTGGGGAAAAATAACGTAGGCTAACTCTTTTATTTGAAAATTACATGAATTTTTTTTTTTTTGTTTGACGTTTAAGTGGACAGGACACTAAAAATAGGCTACTAATTTAATAGACATTTTCCTTATTTCAAGAAAATATATTTTTAAATAAACTCTGTCCTCACATGCAGAAGGATAGGGCAATACACAACATTGTTGTTCTTGGCAACGCGGATTTGCATCCAGAAACAAAAAGAGTGAGCCCAGCTTGGGCACCAGTCCAGCAGACTGGCAAATCTCACCCTATTCACCCTCACCGTTTCCTGGCAGAAGTAAAGAATACAACCGCAAATACCCCCGATACATCTATAATAGCTAGACAGACCTTTATCAGCTTTACACCGCCATGTTCTAAAGTGAAATGGTCAAAAATGGGCTTGTATATTTTGTCATTTGTAAAACCGGCGATCCTTTGCACTCGCTGTCATAAATGTTCCTAATTAGCATCGGGTTTATCATACCCCTGCATATTTTCTTGCCTCTTCAGAAAAAAAAAGCCGGTTGCCGTTCTGCTACGGAAGATTACGGAGACAGATTGCAGAGGACGAATGTGCGGCGCCAGATTAGCGGGGAATAGAAACAGCAACTGGGCCAGTAAATTCCTTGCGCGGGCCTTATCGTGCAATTACACGTTGACATGTTTAACAATCTCGCAGTCTTTTTTCCTAATCCACAAACCTCCGAGAGGCACGAGAGGCAGTCGCTTTAGACTTGGTTAAATGTTTACCGAATAGGCTAAAACCTAAATGTTCCACAAAATATTAGGGGGCAACTTTCTTTCTCTTTTGTTTAAATTGCCAGAAAAAAAAAATGTAGACTATAGTTTTTCCTCTCACCCTTGTGTTTGTCTACTCTTTATTGAACGTGAATCACGTTAACCTTGCAAATACGGCTTTTTAAGATCATCTTTCCTTACGCCGTACTAAATGTGTCCAAACGTTTGTCTTCCACATGCATTTCAATAATGTTGAAATCATCCGGCTTGAGATCTATAAGCACTGCACTTGTAACTATCCTCAAAAACATAGGTTACTAGACTGACATGGAGCAGGTCTAAACCTGCCATTGGGGAGAAATATGCTGTTAACACACTCATTTGTTATTTATAGGCTTAATTTCATATAGACCCATTATATAATATAAAATCGTTCTACGCAAAGTTATGCCTTCGTTTGTCATAAAAACAGGTGTGCAAATGGGTTTTTTTTTAACCAACACTTAAAATAGCCTGTAAAAAAATATTTTCATGATTTGTTATCACAACTTTTTTTCTTTTGTCAAATCAACTTATAATTAATGTGTTTCAGATAACATCATATTTTGAGTTTATGTTGATTAAACCAGTCTCCTTCATTGTTTTAAGTCAAATTTTTAATTTCAATGAACTCCAAATTTGAAGGCAACCAACTTACTTTTTTATGTTAAACCAACAATATATTTTTTACAGTACTCCTGCACATCAAAACTGCTGGGTTGTTTCAAACCACCTTTGGGTCAAATATGGACAAAACCATCCATTGGTTTAAATTAATCAATTTAAACCTATAGGTTCATTTAAACCAACGTTTGGGTTTGTCCATATTTGACCCAACCCAGCATTTTTAGAGTGTATAGTGTAAATTGGCTTTGTAGTTTGCAATGACATAAAATGTGCATCATTTATTAAGTGTCCCTTTGTTTATGACAAACTGAAGGCAAGGAGAAGGATCCCTTTAAGCATGTAATGGGTTTACAAGTGGTCAGAGGCTCTGGTTAATTTACGAACGTTTTTACGTGCTACTTAGGCAAAGACGCTCGTAGGAAACGTGCCGTAGAGATTACTACATGCGACTAAAGTTCTGCTCAGCGCTTCGGGAAGCACGGCATTGGTAGTTAGCGAGTTATCTCTTTCTCTTAGTCTCTTTTTCCCGCATACACACACACACACACACACACACACACACACACACACACAACTCTTACTCTCCCCTGTTACTGTCCGCCTGTGCGAGGGCCTGCGGCGAAGTGATTGTGAGAGACTCTGTTGGAATTTGGCAGCGCGCGGCTTTGGAACGACGCCCCACGCTGACTGTCATTCACCGGGCCTGCGCGACTCACTGTGCAGTTGGGAAGTGTCGCACATCCGTGCACTCATTGGCCTTACAAAGCTGATTACAAGCATCAGCGAATTCCTGAAGGCAATGAGAGGCGATGCAGGTGCACGAGAGGGTAAGTTCCCGGTTGGAACATGCGCGGATGTAGCTGAAAGTTGTGAATATCCGAACAGCCTCAACCAATCAGAGATATTGCCTGTCTGAAGCGAATCAAGTGCACTAACTTTAAAAAGACTGGGAAATGGAAACCATCTTTGCAAAATATATACCATTATGAAAAATAAATGAAATAAATATACTGGCGAAAGATCATTTAACAGTACTTCGAGGAGCTTTAGGTTAATATTATGTGGATGTTTCATTCATTTAGGAATGTTTTGTTCAACCTCGATTTTGAAATCATTTAAATACACATGCGAATTAAAAAATTTTAAGTTAGTTTTGATTTTCTAGATTTTAAAATATTTGTTTTTATTACCTCAGATATACTACCTCAGAGTCCAAATTGCTTACACTGCAATCCAAGGTCTAAGCAGTCTGTAGTTTTTATAGGCTAATAATTGTTGCATTTAACCCACTTTTCGAAGGGCTGACAGCAGTCGTGTGCTGCTGTCCGAATGCGACTTATGTCCAGAATGATGTGCGTGTGTGGGTTTAAATAACAGATTGATTTCGAAACGTTTTCAGAACAGAATTATATAGCCATTCAAATCAAGAGGAGCGCAAGATTGGAATCTTTCGATGTCTCTTCTCTTCCTCACGTTCCTCGAGGGGAGATCCGTCACCTGAGAGTTGTCACCCCGCTGTCACTTGCTGATTAACGGACAAAAGAGGTCTCTCGGACGGTCTGTGGCAGCCAGTCAACCAGAACGGACTATGCAAATAGCCCGGAGAAGGCGAGAAGATGGCGAACACTGCTCTCAATTGTTCTGTGGATTCCACAGCTTTGCGTGCGCAGCTGCAGTTACCCAGGACACTATTTTGCATTCGCGAGCAGAAACCTAAAATGTCTCGGCTAAACAGACATCTGAAACAGTTGTCCTTAAACAAGTGGAAGGATTTAACATGACTTTTATAGCCTACATAGATTAAATATGAAAATGTGAAGAATGAAACGAGATAAAAGGAAACTTTAGAGTGTCACACGGACCAATCGTCAGTTTAGTGCGCACGGAGCTGTCCAGGTGCTGAAATCCAACATGCTGAAGGTGTGGCTTACAAAGGTGTAAAACATCAGACGAGCAGTTCCTTACACCAGGTATATGTTTTACTTTACAGGTGGTAGCCTATCTACAGCATTGACCTTCTATTAATATGTTTTCAGTAGCAGAATTAAGGGTGATTGGGACAGAATTTCCGCCTTGTGTAAGATTTCTTGCCATAAATGAA